CGCGCGAAGACGAGTAACGAGCCGGCCAAGATCTCTGGCAGAGATCTAAATGTCACGGGATTCACACAGGTATTACGCGCTAAGGGGTTATATCACTGGCGAACGCGCTTCTTCTTCTTCGGGAATTACGCCTCTACGCAGTGTGTGCACGTCTATGCATATCTTATGCGGTGAGAAAAAAAAGTAAGCAGGTTCGCTTATATATATACATATCTTTGGACTTTTACGTCTACCGCACGGCGCGTTACACGATGGCGTTACATGACGGCAACTATGTATTGCAACGGGATCCGTTCCTTTTCACTATGTATGCTATTAAGCGAAAATTGCGATAAACGAAAGCTGGAGTGATTATTATTATTGTGCCGCCGCGATGTGCCACGTGGCTTCCACCGTGTGTTTACATCGCATCGCAGCATCCAGGCACGGTACGCCACGGCACCGGGGAAATAACTCATGATGATGATTAACGACCATGTCGATCGTAACGGTGGAATAAATACGTCTCTTTGTGTATGTATTTTCCCTTGTAAAAAATAAATAGTTTAAAAAATATACGTGTGCAATTATATCATATGAGTTTCATATTGATTGATATAATACGACATCGCGATATATTGCACGCGCATAAATCGTAACAAATCGCTTCTATGCCTGGCTTTTTCGAATTGAATTAATATCCTCTCACAAAATTTAGGAATATTTTTTACATTTTATTACAATTATTCATAATTTCTATATATTTTTCTCAGATTGAAAATAATTTAAATAAAAGATGGAAAGATTTGCTTTATTTTTTTTTTAAATTATAATAAATTCCTTTTTTTTATACCTAAATTAAATTATTAATTTGCAATATTAATATATGGCGCATACATTTGTCAGCAAAAGTTCCTTGACAAATCGAATTAATATTCTTTCACATATATTTGTTTTTATTGCAATTATTTTTAATTTCTATATAATATATATATTTTTTTTTTCTCAGATTGAAAATAATCTAAATAAAAGATAGAATTATTTGCTTTATTTCCTTTTTTCAATTTAATTTATGAAAAAGGGAATTTATTATAATTTCAAAAAAGGAAATAAAGCAAATAATTCTATCTTTTATTTAAATTATTTTCAATCTGAGAAAAAAAAATATATGTTATATAAAAATTAAAAGTAATTAAATAAATAAATAATTAATTTAATTTATGAAAAAGGGAGTATTAATTTTTATAAATTAAATTAAATTATTAATTTGCAATATTAATACATGGCGCATACATCCGTGGGCAAAAATTCCTTGACACCAATTCAGAATATCGGCAAGATAATGAAATCATAATTGTAATGACTTGAACATTTAAACTTTTTGAATGTCAAGCAGCACAAAATGAAATGAGAAGAGAATCGCAATTTTTCGTGCAGCAAGCATGGAGTACGTATCAAGTTGTTCGCGATCAATGAAAGCAAAAGTCCATGGACGACTGACCAGATTAGAGCAGAGATGTCGGAGAGGAGTTTCAAGGAACCTCGTCACAGTCGGCCGAGCGCGGTATGCCCCAGGAATTATTTATGAAATTTCGGTTTCTAGCATGGAATCCTGACGTGTATATATATATGTGTGTGTGTGTGTGTGTGTATGAGCGCCACGACATAGCGCTTTCCATTTCTTCCTCCTTTCCCTTTTTAGCTTCTTACACACGAGACGCGTTTACGTAGATCGATCCATATAACCCTTTCATTTTCAGCATCCGCAAGTCCCTAGACGTACTTTACCTTGTCTATAATATATACACACATGTAGTGTTAGTCGAACCATTTAAAAAGTCTACACTAAAAATAAAATTTTTTTAAATCAAATATAAATACATTTTATTAATTTTGAATTTCTTTTACGTAAATAAGTATATACTTTACTTCCAAAAAATGTTTTGTTATATTAAATAAATTATTACTTGCATGTAATAAAAATTATAATTTCTAAAACACATTATTTAAAATTTTAATATAAAAGATATTAATATATTTGAAGATAAAATATTATATATTAAAATAAAGAAAATTTATATTTTTGAAACAAACAGCCAAAAATTAAAAAAGGTTTTTTTAAAGGAAATAATATAATATAATTAAGTAAAAAAATTAATTTTTTTTTATTTGCGAATAAAAGCATACTTTGTTTTTATTTTATATCTTACTAATTCAATTATATTTGCTGTTTAATTGAAATGACTAATCTCTTTGCAAGTATTTAAATAAATATTTTTTTTTAATAAAAAAAAAGTTCTTTGGATTTAGTACATTTTCTTTCAATATACAAATTGACAATTTAAGCGTAAATTTTATTTAGTTTAGACAGTTTGACAAAAAATAATAAGCAAGAAAAGAATTTACAGCAAGAAAGAGAATTCTATTTATTTCCATTTTTAAAGACAAACTATTCTCTGCGATATACATATATCAGAACAGAATATGTCAATCATAATCCTTGAAAAATATCAATCGCAAGAATGGTTATGTTGGAATGCTTATGTTTAATAAAATTATCAAACATCTTCATTGCCATACTCCTGATTCGAATGACATCGACGAGGATAAATATTCTTTCACCTCGAGAAAGCTATGCAGTATTATTAACGACGCTGGCCGTGGTGAAACTGATGGAAACTAACGTCGCATGACGTCGCGGTCAGACATCGTCGAACGAAAGGTCAGCATATGTAAAAAATAATTGATGAAGCATCCGACGAGAGAGTACCTTAACTACCGTGCCGTTGTTTTTGTTTCACGCCGGCTTACATCATTTCTCTCTCTTTCTCTCTCTCTCTTTCTCTATCTCTTTTTTATTTCCCTTCGCCTTTTTATCGAAATTATTACATAATCGAACGTATCGTGATTGAACGATTCTACAATCTCGCGCTGCTAGAGCACGCGGAATATATTTTACAAGCGCCATTCGGTGAAAGGTCTGTTCGTCTTTGCACACATAGAAATTAAAAGCCGCACGTAAGTTATCGAGCCCGATAGTCCTCGGCACGTTTGACAGAAACGGCTGCGACATATCGCGATCAAGCGTATTGTCAAGCACGACAGCGCCAACAGGTGCGACTTATGTGCCTGTAAGATAGTCGAATTGTGGAGTGGACGAAGCTAAACGTTCGGTCGGAAATAATTGGGAGACTATGTTGTAACCCATTTATAAAAAAGCCTGCAAAAATAGACAGTATATATTATTTAGATAATTATTTAATATCTGATATTTTATTATATTTTATAAATATTTAATATTTACTGCCGGTGAATAAAACTTATTTTCTTTCTGAACTATTACCGCACGTGTATATTTATAAATGTGTTTAATGTACTATACTTTTACGTCGAAGTGTTATTAATAAAGCGTTATGCTTCACAAATCAATTATACAGTCGTGTTATATAAATGCTTATTGATGAAAAATACGGATTGCAATTTGAATAACCAAAGAATTATTAGCGAGCTGTAATTGAATACGGGACAGAGTCAGCGTGACGAATATAATTTAATCTGACGGTAACAATTAACACCTGTCTGTGGCGCGTGTTAGATAAGCGAGGTGAAAGTTGCCTATTCTAGTATCTTATTACTTTTTGATTACATTTTGTCTTGTCTATTTTTTTTCGCGAAGCTTCTCTAATATTCAATAAAAACGAAGAAAGACATTTTATTGTGAATAATGCAAAAAATATGTTTGCTTTTAAATACAAATGTTGCTACATTTTTAAATTCAGCCTAATTTCAAGCCCATCCTAATTCATTTTTAATTCAGCTTTATTCATTTAACCACGTCTCATTAATCTCTGTCTGACGTAATGTAATTTTTTTCTTAACTCTAATCGCGTTTACGTAACGTTACATTTACACGAAATTACGTTATACGTATATATTTATATATATATAACGGTAGCCGATCGAAATTACAAACTCGAATTTCTGGAGCATTAACCTATCATCGATGCGTGACGATAGTTGTGCATAATTATAGCTACTACTAGTGCAACCGGGGGATTTACAGGAGACCCTGGTCCTACGATTGCATAACCGCATAAATTACTGTCATTAATTACGGCTGTGCCGAATGAGACACATGGTGGAGAGCAGGATTTTATCTTTTGGAAAGAATATAATTTATCTTTTATTATTTTTTACATCGATATATAATAACACGTATTATATGTAGTCGGATTTAAATGTCTCCACAAATATAACACGACAGAACATATTTTAAGCTCTGGAGTAAATTATAAATATAATACTAATAATAAGAATACTTGCCATTTTTTTACAAAATTTCAAGATGTTTAGTTCTGCAAGAGCTATGCTGGATTAGAGGAATTTGTGTGAAATTTCTTTCCTTATTCAATCTATCAGTTGAGAAATAAAAGTCAAGTATTCGAAAGAATTCTAAATATTCTACATTAAAAATAACATTTTTTTTCAATCGAATAAATACATTTTGTTGATCATGACTTTTTTACTTAAATAAATATATACTTTGTTTCTGAAAATGTTTTGTTATATTAAATAAATTATTAATTGCATGTAATAAAAATTATAAATTTTAAAATACATTTAAAATTTTAATATAAAAAGATATTTATTTGAAAATACAAAATTATTTATTAAAATAAAGAAAATCTGTGTTTTTGAAACAAGCAACCAAAAATTAAAAATGTTTTTTTAAAGGAAATGATTCAGTATAATAAAAAAAAACAAATTTTTTGTACTCTTATCTAAAAAATTCTTTTTTATTTGTAAATAAACAAAGTATGTTCTTAGTTTATATTTTACTAATTCAAATATATTTTCTGCTTAATTGAAATAACCAATGCAAGTATTAAAATAAATAATTTTTTTAAATAAAAAAAATTTTTTTTAGGTTTAGTACACTTTTTTAGTGTAATCTTTTGGATTTTTTTATATGTATAATAGCGTAATGCAAATTTATGTTCCCTCATATCTCTTTCTTTTTTGTTTTTCAGTTTTCGTGTCGATCCTCAATCTTCATCATGGCCGCGTGTTATGCAGCGCGGGGGAACCTGGCGTAAGTGCCTGTAAAACTAATTTAATTGAAAGTATAAAACCATATTTACTTAAATCATTTTCTTGACTCGTCGCGACGAATAGCTGAATTTTCTCTTCTCTAACTCGCCGGATTTTTGGCTTTTTAAGTATCTGGACTTCGACAACCTGCCGGAGACAAACTTCTCGTGTCAAGGAAAGGTGATTGGTGGATACTACGCGGATGTCGAAGCGGGCTGTCAAATGTTTCACGTGTGCACCATCGGCCAGAAAGGTAGCTTTGCATTATAAAGGCGGAATTCTCAATATGCAAACGTCAAAATCTACGGAATAAAAATCTCGATAATAAAGAAAATGTTGCTTTTAAATCATACTATTCTGCATTCACCGCTTTTTTCGGCAGAAAAGTAACAAACGTTAATTCCAGTTAACGAGTTTAAATTCTCGAGATTGTGGATTCGCGGAGAACGACTCTTCTCGTGACGAGTCAAAGCCAGACCTTCGGCTTAGGTCAGTAAACGTTCCTCGACGACCGTGACATTCTCGCTGTAAAGCGTTCTCCCCATTGATTACAAAACTTCGACGGGACCTTCGGTCGGACTTTTCGATACGATTTATTTATCATCGATACGCGCGTCGATCTTAAATAGGTTCGCGGCCGTTATTAATTATCGTTTTTAATTCTAATTTACCGGATCTGAATCCGTGACAAGTCCGGATCGATTCTTAGCCGGAGATGCAAAAGGATCTGACTCCGATCATTCGTCGTGATACGTAAACGCTTGACATATAAAACGATTTGCATAATTATCTATATAAGACGGATTTTATCGACTGGATTGCGAGGTGAACGCGACATGTGTAATTTTGTCTGGGAGTCCGGAGATCAAATATCTTTGAAATGGACGCGCAGAACAAAAATACTTTATTGTATTCTCATTGTCAGTATAGATACTCGAATGAAAAATTTCAGCGCGAAAAATCGCACTCGATGATACGGTATCTGGGTTTTAATATAATCAAGGAACGAATAATAAATTGTAAAATTAAAATACGCAAGTGTCTCGGTAAGATTTTAACGATGAACGCACTTCAGAGATTCCAGAGTATCCCCAAATAATGATACTCTCTTCTTCACCGTGAGATCTGGTTTCAGACGAGATCATGGATATAAAGTTCCTCTGTCTGAACGGGACCGTCTTCGACCAGGAAACCAGAGTCTGCGAGAGGGTCGACGAGGTCGATTGCAGTAAAAGCGAGAGATTCTACAATCTGAATCTGGAGCTCTACGGCAATAACGCCGTGACGCTCAGGTAAAAAGCCAGGTTACAATCTAGCACCCTCTTTCCATCTTATAAATTAATTTTTCTGGTAAATTACACAATTGGAAAATTAGGCTTAAATTTAACATATATCTCAAGCGGTCCACATAAATTTTTATGTCAATTTAACATAATATAGATATGTTAAATGGTAACACTAAGATTGTTAATATTTCAACAAAATGAATGCAAACTTCACAGTAATTTGAAAGAAATTTTGTATAAAATTAACATATTTTTAATGATAAAATTAACTTGGAAAAAAGTTATTGACAATCTGTAGTCACTCTCACTCCTATTGTAGAATAAAATCAACCATTTTTTTTGTAAATTTTAACAGATAAATTCCGTCACTAATAATACAGAACATATCTGTTGTTTAAAATTAAAACTATGTACACATTGTATTATTTTTACACTTTTCTTCAGTTGTTTTAATAATTTAACATTTGAGTTATTTAACATAAAAATTTTTACCGTTATATTGTTTAACAAAAAAACATAAATTTTCCAACTGTGCACACGGGAGAAAATAAATTGTTCGTGACACACAGGGTTAATAACAATTCGCCGATTCGCGAAAAATAATATTGGTGATATGCTCCCCAAACCGGTCGTTCTAATCTACAATATTTTCCGATTTCGCAAGTCGCTGCGAGCATAAACTATTGCTATCGAATGAAGTAAATTATTGCACACTCTGATTGCTTTGCCGGTCATATACAAAGTATTCTAATATCACTGCAGTTTACTCAAAGAATCAAAGATATACCAAACATGTATCTCGTTTAATTTACCTTTAGTTTGGATAAATATAATTAAAACTATATAAGTTTCTTAGATATAAATAAATAATAAAATTTTACTATTATTCCATTATTTAAGTAAAAATCTTGTATTCCTAGAAATTTAATTCGAAATATATTTATTAAGACATTAATAACGTAAGATATCAAGAAGATATCATTTTTAAGAAAGGTGAGAGAAAGAGAAATCGATTTCAAATTTATCAATAAATTTCAAAATTGAATTCACGCGAATGTTACTAAACATTCTGTATACGTAATATCATCATTGCATTAAAAAAAAATCTTGCTTGGATTTCATTGCTACATTTTTCTCGCTTCGTTTCGTTTATGCAATATATCCGAAGCAACGCCTAGAGATATAATCGCATAATATGTTGCGGTAAAAAAAAAAAAAAACACGGGGCACGCTTTTAAAGTCCCCTTCAGCATTTCTAATCGCACATTTTCAATTCGTGCAACAATATTTTCCGATTTCGCAAGTCGCTGCGAGCATAAACTATTGCTATCGAATGAAGTAAATTATTGCACACTCTGATTGCTTTGCCGGTCATATACAAAGTATTCTAATATCACTGCAGTTTACTCAAAGAATCAAAGATATACCAAACATGTATCTCGTTTAATTTACCTTTAGTTTGGATAAATATAATTAAAACTATATAAGTTTCTTAGATATAAATAAATAATAAAATTTTACTATTATTCCATTATTTAAGTAAAAATCTTGTATTCCTAGAAATTTAATTCGAAATATATTTATTAAGACATTAATAACGTAAGATATCAAGAAGATATCATTTTTAAGAAAGGTGAGAGAAAGAGAAATCGATTTCAAATTTATCAATAAATTTCAAAATTGAATTCACGCGAATGTTACTAAACATTCTGTATACGTAATATCATCATTGCATTAAAAAAAAATCTTGCTTGGATTTCATTGCTACATTTTTCTCGCTTCGTTTCGTTTATGCAATATATCCGAAGCAACGCCTAGAGATATAATCGCATAATATGTTGCGGTAAAAAAAAAAAAAAACACGGGGCACGCTTTTAAAGTCCCCTTCAGCATTTCTAATCGCACATTTTCAATTCGTGCAATTCGCGTATGCACTTTTTCGCAAGTACTTACATACCTTAGACGAGTCGGACGTACGGTACAAAATTGCGGGCTATAAAAGGCATGCCCATAGCTCGAGCATCCATAAATACTTTACTGGCTTTTCTTCACTCGCGGCCGGTATCTCAGGAATGCGCCAGAGTCCTCTCGCGCCGACTGGACTGAAATATATGCAATATATATGCAGATAAAAATTATAACGATTAACTATCACGGTGACGAAATTTATACTCTCCGTTCGATGACGCAGCTGCTTAATCATTGACGGCCGTCTATTTTTAGCCAAAGTAAATCTCCTTTCCCACGCGGTTTGTTTTACCTTGTTTATTTGCCCGTATGCGACCTTATACGGTTAACGTCGTTATTATCATCCGTCAGTGTCATCCGACGATGAACGGTCGTTACCTGGAAGCGGTTATCTCGTAACCGAACACGCACACGAGTGTGCGAGAGGCTCAGGAATGCGTCAAGATTTCTGCTTGCCGCGACATTCTGACGCGTTTCTGTTGCCGCTAACGTTGACAATATCTTTTCCGAATAATATACGACGAGAAAATAGATCAAGATTTATTCCACGTTTTAGGATACTTCAAATCGCAGCCTGTAAATTGCCCACAGCACACCCCGCGAAATATAATGACTGGTTTCTTAAGCTTCTTATCCGCTGCCCTTTTACCTGCTCGCAGCCTTCACGAGAATGATGATGCCGACGAAGACGATCTTACGGATCGCCCAACGGAGGGCGATCATCAGGCACGAACGACCTCGGCGCGACCCAGCACAACTTCGACCACCTCCAGCCCCACGACTACGTCCCATCCCAGCAAGTCGTCGTCCACCACCGTCGCGAGCGGTTCCTTCCAGCATCCGGCCGGTTATCCACAGCACTATCAGCCCCAGCCGCCATTCCCGCAAGTCCATACGAGCCAGTCCAAATCACTGTACGATGACAAGAACGGCGGCTATCATCATCAGTACATCTTCCACAACGGCGGCGAGCGCGTCAGCAATCAGGCCACGTCATATCAGCTGTTCAGCAGTCAGGGTGCCGTCAGCTCGACGACACCGTCCTCGCAGATCCATCCGCAGATCAGATATAGCTCGACGGTGGGTCCATCGCCGCAGATCATTCAACACAACGAACCGTCGACCGTGACGCCGCTGTATCACTCTACGTCCTCCGCCACGATACAGACTCTGCTTAACAGTAACGCTAACAGCCCGGCGGCCTTGATCAACCCCCTCTTTCACAATCACGGCATCGCGAGCACCACCGAACAGTTTGCCGTGCACAGCAACAATCCACGCGAGACCGCCGACTATCGCGACGAGGATGATCGTGAAGATATAAGGCCACTGGAGGCGATACAGCCGATTAATAAGGGAAAGGTAGAGCATGCGTTTCAATAATTCTCTTTGATTGTTGCAGTCGACTTAATTTTCTTTTGTTGAAATTTAAATTAAATATTTTCTTTTGTTGAAATTTAAATTAAATATTTTGATATAAAAAAGTGTCCTCTCAAACAATATATAATAATCAATTAAACAAGGTGTTCAGAAGAAAGGGTTCAAGACTTTAAGGGCAGATAGTACTTACAAAATGGAGGAAAAAAGTTCTAATAAAAATAAATCGAAAAATTAATATTGTCGGAATTATGAACAATTCTTCAACAACGGATTTCCTTACAATTTTTTCATCCAAAAGAAGAATTTGTTTTTCTAAAAGAAGAAAAAAGAAGAATTTTTCAAACTCCAGAGTTTACAGAAGACTTTCTCTGTTCTCTTCCCATTTTCATTTTCCTCACATTTTCGTAGAGAGAACAGAATTGTAAACTCTTTCAAAAATTCCCGACTTTGTTTTAACTATTTGACATACGTTATAAAGCGTATAAATGGAACAAGGATACATAATATTTGTTTTCATGCGGCGCGAGAGCACCAGAAACGAGCAAGTTACTTGCTTTAACCAAAATGAACAGCTTAACTTCAGGTTAAGTTAGGTTGACAATATTAATTTTTTAATTCATGTTTATTAGGACTTTCTTCTTCCATTTCGTGAGTACTATCTGCCCTTAAAGTCCTAAACTCTTTCTTTAACATCCTATATATCAAGAAGAACAAATAAGAGAAGAAAGTTTGTATCACCTCTTATTTTAGGTGTCCAAGTTAACGATATCTCCGGTTCCGAGCCTGCAAGAATCATCTCGCACGGTGCAAACGAAGGCGAGTCAAACGTCGCAGCAGCAGAGGATATCCGACAACTTTCTGCCGACATCCCCGGCCAGCATCGAGACGACCATCAGATCGTTTTACCCGACGCCGAGACCTTCGCCGAAACCCTCGCAATCGGTCGTTCATCAGTCGGTTACCCAACGAGGGGGCATTCACCGGGTGAATTTGCCAGGCGTGACGGTGCCGCAGCTTAAGCCTCATCAGATTACTATAAATCTACCACCACCGGACATTCAGAGGATTGTGCAGAGTCCGTCGCCGCTGTTGCCGTCGCAATCGCGAGTGATCGTCACGGCGAAGGCGAGCGTGAGCGACGAGTCCGGCAGACCTTTGAACACCACGCAATTGGTGACGTTGCCGTTGCCGACGATACCGGCCAGCTATGATGACTACAAGGAGGGCGACGAATCCTTCGATCCATTTTATCGCGACGTCCCAAAGATACCCAAGAATCGTCAAGTGGCGAGGGACGCGATGGATAAGCGATTCTCGCGTAGAAAACGATCAATTCACGGTCAATTCTACCATTTGATCAACGGCGCGAATAGTCGAGACGGGGATTTTAAAGCGATACGAAAGAGCGAATCGCATGAGAACGAGGATGAAGCGACGAGCGTGGAAGATACGCCGCGTACCGAGATCGGAGATTTCCGAGCTATTAGGGAGAGTCTGATGAAGTTTAGAGATATCCTATTCAGCGACGAAGCGGATGAGGATGCTTATCGCAATACTGCTGATGAGATTGAAAATACTAAACACGTCGCGAAAGATAGCGAGATTCTCGAAACAAAGGATATCGCGATAGAAAAGGTAGATGATTTAGAAGATTTAAAGACAGATGCTTCGAAACATTTAATGCTAAATGAAGAAGCAGACGAGAAAGAAGATGAAAAATTGAAAGAAAAAGATAAAGAAGCATACGAGAAAGAAGGAAATCAAAAATTAAAAGAAAAAGATAAAAAAGTAGACGAGAAAGAAGAAAATAAAAAATCGGAAGAAGAAGATAAAAAAGCAGACAAGAAAGAAGGAGATAAAAAATCGAGTCGTGAAGATTTATCTTCAAACATTGAAACTAATGCTGAAAAGTTGTTAGACAAGAGAAAACATATTAAAAATACGTCGGACTCAGAGTCTAAATTAAAATTCGAAACTAACGTTGAATTTACAAGCGCTCGTTTGAAAGAAAACAAATCTCCGAAAGATGATATAGTAATAATACTTGATTCCGACAATGACTTTAAGATGGAAGTTACGAATTCCGATGTCGAGACATCCAAGATCGACGTTCCTCTCGAGATTATTATTGAAAAAGAAAGTAAATCCAACTTGCACAATCCATCGGAGACTGACAAAGAAGTTATAAATAACGGACAACTGCCAAGATACTTGACAAAGGACGAATCGGAAAAACGATCAGGCTTCGAAACTGACGAAGAGAAACAACTGGGAATTCCACGAGAAACAACCGAGCAAAAAAGCTCCAAGGATTCTAGAGAAGAAAAGTCCGGTTTGAAAAGGAAAATTTCTCGAGCAAGATCCTCGAGGAGACGCTTATCTTCGAAAATAAAGCAGCAAAAAACGAACAATGTCGAACTGACGGAAACAATTTGGCAGAAAGAAAAAATTGATAAAACTACTACTATTACTAGTGTCATTACTACTACATCCACTACCCCATCTATCGTATCCTTCGAGGCGAAAGTTACGGAGCAAATCGATAGCCACGTTTTCGGAGGATCAGAATTGCAAACTTCTAAAGAAGTAGACACGAGGGCGATTGGTCAACGCGACGCGACGTATTCGAAGAGTTTGCAAGACAGCAAGAGCAACGACGTCGGGAGAGATAAAGAGATTGAGCAATCGTTCAATCATCAAATTATAGAGGAGAGCGCAAAAGATTCAAAGCGGCATGTCGATAAATCTGAAGAAGAAATGGAGCAGAAAATCGAATATACTAGTTTAGAAGATACAAACTTTACCGAGAATCCACAAAGCGCAGTCGAAACGGAATCGATGGAAGTTACCCACGTTTCAGAAGAGAAAAAGTCCAATGAGGAATTCTTCTCGAGAGAATACGAAACTTCGGACAACGACGAATCCAACGCGAATACGAAAGAGGAGAAGCTGGAAGTGAGCTCAGAAGAGACACCCAACAAGATTTCCTCCTCTCACGAAGCCGCGATTTCTTCTCGCGAGGATGATTCCGAAGAGTCGTTTCATGGCGAAGAGTCGAGCGAGAAAATAAGCGCTAATGATTCGAACGAAGAGGAATATTCAACTATGAAAAACAGCCAAGAGACAAATTACAAAGAATCAAACGAGTATCCGGATACAATGGATTCATCCGCGGAAAATTCGCGTGACCAGGAAAATTACAGAGAATCGGAAAGCACCGAAGAATATACAACGTCCATTGATTATGCGAACTCCGAGGAATACAACGATTCTCAGGAGGACGTTACGGATTCGATCGAAGACACTGAAGGCAGCACTGAAGGTATCTTAAAATTTACGGACGAATTACCGAGGTCGTACGATGGGGACAACGAGGCGGAGACAAAGAGAACGTTGGAATCCGACGATGCGCACGATTATATCGATGACAATTACGAGCCGGAAAATTACAAAGAGATGGAAACTGCGACTGAATCGAACGATTCTAAGGAGGGGAAAATCGAGGAGATAGACGGAGAAAAGGGAGACGCAGTGTCGAAGGATCTCGAGACACATCGGATTGACGATGAAGCGGAAACGCAGACGGAACATGCGGGAGAGGGTATCACGGAAATGGTGAGTCTCGAAGAAGTCACAAATTTTCCCACGATTTTGTCGACTGCTGCAACAGCATCCAGCACGACAGTGTCTACCACAACGATGTCGTCGACGAGTACAACAACTACGACTACGACTACGACTACGACTACGACTACGACTACCCCTCGACCGACGACTACCACTACTCGTCCCACATCACCGAAACTCTTCAAACCCGTCGGGAACAGAAGAATTTACGCTTACACACCGCCTACGACGACTCCGATTCCAGTCGTGATTAAATCGAGGATGGGCCTGTTTAATCCGAAACCGGCGAAACCGCCCAAGTCCTACAACGACTTGGCGCCAAAGCCGGTGATCAGGAAGCTCACTTTGACACGCAAACCTATTACCACCACCGCAGCTACTATTGCGATTACTACTACGGAGAAGCTGAATATGGAAAGTCCGACGAAACATACGACGGAGCCCATAACAACAATGACGATGACAACTGTGATGACGACGACGACAGAATCTGGCAGAAGCGAGGAGAACGTTCTCGAGAGTAAGCTGGAGGCGAACGAACCTATATCCGTTGATCTCTCCGCGAAGAGTGATCAGATAAACAAGCAGGATCAACTCTCAAGTTCAACCGAGCAAAATTCCCCCGTCAACTCTTCGAAGGATGCTGATTCACGGATCTCGACCAAAGAGATCGAGACCTCTACTCTCTTGTCTAGACTGACTACCCTCGCGTCGTCTTCTGTCGAGCAGACAACGATAGATGTGAAAATGGAACCGCAGGAAACTACGGAAAGGGTCGATATCTCCGCGACGACCTCTCTGCATCTGACGACGTTGCCCCTTAAAAAGTCATATACCGAATACAGCGAGACGAGTACCGACAAGTACCCCGAGGAAGCGGAGACCACGATAACTTCCGCCAAAAACCATCAAAAATACGTTACCGAAACTTCTTCGGTTCTCGCCGAACAATCGACGCCAGTTTCGACGATTCCGACCTCGATGATTCCGACTTCGACGATTTCGACCTCGACAATTCCGACCTCGACGGCCCCGACCTCGACGATTCCAATCTCGACGGCCCCAACCTCGATTATTTCGACCTCGACGATTCCGACCTCGATTATTTCGACCTCGACGACCGTCCAGCTCAAAGTTGAAGATGCCGATTCGACGACAGAATCAGCGATCCATCGGCCGAGCGGCCGAAAGTTCGCGGTATCGCGGAAGCACGCGAGCTTCAATTGCCTGGAGAAGGAGATGTATCGCTTCTACGGCGACGCTAGGGATTGTCGATTGTTCCACTATTGCTCGCCCGGCTTCACCGCGCGTCAGGTGCTGGACTTTCGGTTCGTATGCGAGGAGGGTACGGCGTTCGACGAGGAGACGCAGAACTGCCGTCACGACGTGCGTAATCGGAACTGCCGGAATCGGTCCTGGTGAGAGCCGTGTCTCCTTCCCTTCCCGTCTTCGAAGCTTCCTCGACACTCTCGATCCCGTTGATTTTGGTAATTCGTGAATCCTTCATAGGACTCTCCGTAGTGTATTTATAATTCTTCTTTTTTTTTTAACGCGCAGTACACGTAAGCATATACCCCGAAGAAGAAGAGGGGGGAATACCCCTCTTCTCCTAAGCCCCATTGCCATAGCGCCCCTCGCGCTGGATTCACACTTATTAAAGTTAATGTCGATTCAATCGGCTCGCGATTGCTGATTGGGCCAGGTGAGAAGCGAGGAAGCGCGTCACGCGTCGGTGCAGCTGATTTGCGTGCGTGCACCTGTCAAACAATCGCACGGCACTGTTAGCGTTTAAGTCAGAGAGCGAAGAATAATCGGTTCCTACGTTGTTCCCGAGAGGCGCGAGAGAGAGACTTTAAGCGAGGACATTACGATCACACACGATCGTAAAGTAGTTCTTCTCATCCTTTTCACGCGACTGATTCAATGACGCGCGGATTTTGTAAACACGTTGCCGAATATTGCCGAGGATATCTACGCCCACGATTACTCTCGTTATTCTTAGCACCTCGCTCGATAGCGTGATATTTATATTGACGTTTTCCGGAAGTAGCCGCCTTTTTCCCGATCAAAGAGATAATTTTATTCGATATCGAGATAAAATGTTAAATATATTTTTGATAAAATATACGCGCTTCTGCATCCAGGTCAACTCTCGTCATGGATCAATAATCAGAACGTGTGTAATATACGTTTAAAAATGTATGAAAATATTTTTAATTGAAATATCTTGACACAGAATATCACTTGCTTTTGATAAGTATTTTATATAAAATTTTATTTCATGTATGTAATTAATTTTCTTTTTTTGTAAGAAATTTTTATAAAAAATTTTTTCATAAAATTTTACTTCGTATATATAATTAATATTATTTTAATTGTCGCGTATAAAATGTGCCTACGGATAAAATATCGCAGATATAAACGCTCATCTACGTTTGTTCTACTTGTATCAATTCCTCGAAATCAACTTCTCGTAGTACCAAAAAGTGCAATAAGACGTAACATCGTTGCTCAAGCATCTTTTAGATATGAATTTAGCTCGATAAAGCATAGATATCTCGAAGTAACGAGCGTGCAAGACGCATAGTCGATTTAACAAATGCGTTACGTTACATGTAAGAAAATCGAAGAAAGAAAAATTGCGACTTACAGTTCGCAATTTATTTTAATATGCGTATATTTGATAATATTCACTTTACTATTCGGCATATATCGTAAAAAAAAACGCTGATTGCAACAAAGAATTTGAGTAATTTTTCATACGTGTATTGATAATTTCCTACTATTAATTAACGCGCTTTAATTATGAGTGAAAATGAGTGCGCCTCAGCCGTAGATAAATATATATTATATAAATATATATTTTTACGGATTTCCTTTCTTTTTTATTCCGAACCATCCAGCGATTTAGATAGAATCTAGGAAATTTGTGCGTGTCGCCGAAATGAGCGTGTGACTCGTTGATAATTTTCACATATGTACATATTGCGTGCACGCAATGACGCATAATATTCGAGAAAAATTATAGCCACTATATTTTGTAAGCAATTGTACTATGTCAATAATAATTATATATTCTATACGCACACGTGTGTGTATGTGTGATACTCATTCTATCTTTCATCAATCCTTATCTTGTGCTTCCTTTTTCTTGCATATGCATTAGAGAAAAATTTAAGATATTCTCTGTAATATTCTTATCTTTATCGAATATTTTCTCTAAAATATGATATTCTATTAAAGTCTAAAGATAAAAAAAAAAAAAAGAAAAAATATTTTCTATAAACTTTATTTTTTCAAGTACACAAAAGTTTATCGTTTTGAGAAGAAAAACCTCTATCTGACGCTTTTTAATTTTCAGTTGTTATATATCATAAAATAATACGATTTGTTGAAGATGAGACGTAATGTTAAAGCGTAAAAGATTTTATCTATAATTGTTAAAAATATGCCAAATTCAGTATAAAATGTATATATATTAAAATATTTAACAAATATCATTAAAGCACTAAATTCAAAATTTTATTATATATAACTATGTCAATGTGACATTGCATTTCAGTTGTAAAAACATCCTTATGCGAGAAGTGTTTATTGATATGTAGAAGGGGAGGACCGGAGTATTTCTTTTTACCTTTTTATTAAAAGTTTTATTCTACTATATTAAATACATATACTTAAGAGATGAAACAAAATTTATACATTAATATATACATTGCGGCATCAACTTGTGTATGTGTATGATTTGTATGCTTATATTATATAATATATTGTGTAAAAAATTGGATCTTTTATATATTTGTCCTCCATTAATATAATTTGCATGTATGCAATCATTTGCATCATAAAAATATTCAATTTTCTTGTATTAAAATACGTCGTATTACATAATGAAATTTGATGCACATCTCATTACTCTTGCAACTCTCGATTATTATTCTTTTCGTATTATTGCGCTGTCAATCTTTGCTTTTACTCTTCAACTCCACTCGAATTTAAAAAAGCCTCGTCTGTTTATATGTCGGAGTAGTTCTTGCTATCGCTTCGTGTTCACTGAAAAAAGAATATTAATTTAAAGTAACTTAAGTAACTTGAGCTACAAATCATGTGTTATTAATTAACAATGTAAATATCAGCAATCTTATTGTACGTGAATTATTGTCGAAAAAAGATATATAATCATTATAATAGTAAAAACTAAATATGAACATCTTATATATGTGATAATAAATTACATAATTATTTAATAAAAAGATACTAACAATAAGATATCTTTTACTTAAATATTTAATATTATATAAATATTATATACTAACTATTATATAAATATTATATATTAACATATATTTCGTATCATTTAAGAATACAATAACATTTTTACATATCAAGCACAATCGAATATAAATAACTAATCATTTATAACTTTTTGCAAAATTTTAAAGCAAAAATTCATAGATGAAAAGCAATGCTGACAAGTCATTTTGTTCATGATAAAAGACGTTCACTCACCAGCCGGTGACATTTTCCGCGGCATCGCAAGTGTCGATGAGCTCGTTAAAGGCGTTCCCCTCGCCGCAATTCTGCAATCGTGGACGGCCGTTCACGCAGATGTAATAGTGATGGCAGTCGGCGTTGCTGCGGTAAAATTTAATCCCAGCATCCAGGAAGGGGCCACTTTTCACCTCCGGGCAGCGAAAGCCGAGGAAAGCCTCGGCGTCGCAATCCGGCACCTGATCCGGCCAGTCGCATCGATACGTCTCTGGATTAAAAGCCAGACCTTCCGGACAATCGAAGACGTAACCCCGACCGTCCACGCAATTCATGAATTGTCCGCAACGCTGATAATCGCCGATCTTGAAATAGCCGTACTGATGGGGACAGTCCTCGGTCGGGTTTGCCGTCTCTAAGGAAAGTTCGACAATTATATTTTGTTATTTAATCGCACTTCATACACTGAAAAAAAGGATTAAATCCCCAAAAAATTTTTTTATTAAAAAAATTATTTATTTAAATACTTGCAAATTAATTATTTCAATCAAGCAGTAAATATATTTGAATTAATAAAATATAAAATAAAAGCAAAGTATGTTTTTATTTGCAAATAAAAAAAGAATTTGTTTTTTTATCTTTATTATACTAAAAATTACTTCCTTTAAAAAACATTTTTTAATTTTTGGCTGCCTGTTTCAAAAACATAAGTTTTCTTTATTTTAATAAATAATTTTTTATCTTCAAATATATAAATATTTTTTCATATTAAAATTTTAAATAATGTAATTTAAAAATTATAATTTTTATTACATGCAAATAATTTATTTAATATTAAAAAACATATTTGGAAACAAAGTATATATTTATTTAAGTAAAAGAAAATCAAAATTAACAAAATGTATTTATTTGATTGAAAAGAATTTTAATTTAAGTGTGTAAAATCTTTAATTTAATGGAGCTTTGATAGTTTAAATAAGAGAAATATCGATCTTGAAAGGATCAAACTTTATAAACAATTAAAATTAAAATCTGATAATGCAGTATTATTTCTATCGACGAAATAATTGGAAATAATTGGAATTTAAATAATTGGAAATTAAAGATTGATCGTAGTAAATAACTCACGCAAGTTTGGCCTGCCGGTGCAATCTATGTCGATCGGATATCCGCAAGGATAGTTGAAACGAGCTTCAGGATTGAAATATAAGCCTTCAGGACACAGCTTTTCTTCGGCAACCCCATCGATACACTCGATATAAGCATCGCATTGATTCTGCACCGGAAAACGGCCGTTCCTCTCCGGACAGGACGCGGATGTTCCGCGTTTCGGGGAGAATTGCTGCTGGTTGCGATTCAACTGATTGTCAAACAGTTGATTCGAGAACCTGGCATTTTGATTGAGCGCTGAAACGCAATAAATCGTCTTTTATAGAAAAATTTCGCCCATAAATATTTATTTTAAATAAGACTCCGAAGTTCTTTTTACATAGCGTTTGTGGGCACCTATCAAAATCGCATAGAGCGACGACAGTTTCAAGATTCTGATTTAAACGGCGACCAATATTGCGTATAAAACTTGTCAAACGAGTCCGTCCAGAAAGTATTAATGAGTCGTGTTCAGTAACGCGGCAAGATGCGATTATCGCACGATGGCGAAAGTTCGGTGATAGCCAGCACTCGACCTCTACGAACTCGTATGTGTATGTATGTGTGATGCGCATACATTAGCGTTACCTGCGCATCGCTTACGCAATGTCTGCGTGCTGTTTGTAACCGATTTTGCCGCAGGCGCAAGATTGGGCCAAAATTACTTTTAGAGATGAAGTAAAAATATTCAAAAAAGAAATCAATGAATAAAAATAAAATTGTACGTTCTCGTTACACAATTAAGATTGATTTACGTAATTTAGACAGCTCTTTCTGTGCCCTTTTCAATATCGAAGAATTAAAACGATTTATTCGAAGCGGAGCTGAAAAGAGAACTGGTTCCGATTTTATGGCCTCGAGATATCACGATAGGTCGAGAAACAGCGACAATAGTTTTGTGCACGAAAACCGTCAGGCATTCCCGAGAAATGTTTCCCCGGGGCATAAATTGCACAAGCTACACGTGAACGCAAACAACGGGAGAAAGTTCCGCTGATTACAAATTCGATTATCCGTCGTTAAATCGACGAGCACGAACATTAAACGTCTCGTCCATCGGGAATTCTTTTCGTCTGCTGAAGACAAAAGGAGGATTTTACCGGTTGCACATTTCACGTTCGTGGAAAAAGAATAAAATAAAAGAATATTGTTTTCCACGGGGTTATACAACGTAACGTACAATATTTATTTTTATTAAGAGCAAACACTGTGTGGGTCCGCGATATAACAGCTATATAAATTTACCCATGTGATAGTGGAGGATTAATATTCATGCTTGTCTATATAAACTTTAAGCTTAAAAAATTCGTTTTTTTAACAACGTGCAAGCGCATCGCATACAAATCAGCGATGCGTCCGTGACTGAGCATACGTGTAACTGCAAAATACTATTCAGGACGCGTTTGCATTCATAAAAATAGGCGCATACAATTTTTCCTAAGCATTCTGGATCTTAGCCAGCCTTATTAAGCTGTGTTTGAATTATACGTAATTATTTAATGTATTACATAATATATATTTTTAAAAATATATATTATATTTATATTTAAAAAAAAATATATATTACGTTTATTTAAAAAAATATATATATTATGTTTTTTCCCTTTAAACTTCATATAATTTTTAAGATAAAGTTTGCAGTTTTTAATGCTAAAATATACAATATGTTTAATTAATAAACTGTGTCTATCAGTCATATCAATAGCCATTCACAAATTTAAAAAAACACGATACATATTATTATCATTTCAATATATTTAATTATTGGATATCATGTTTGAATATTTATTATAATTCGGTGTAAAAATTTAATGCATCTTTTAATTTGAAAGTACTGCTTACTTTAATTCACCGGGATCTATTTAAATAATCTTACACAACCTGATATTGATTCTTCAACGACTGTAGGATTCGTTAATAGAAAAGAGAAAGAGAATCAACGGTGCTCAAAATTCGTGTCGCGCGTAGGAATAAATTTTTCTAAAAACCAAGCGATCTATTACACGAAGAATTACATATAAATATAGAGAACGTCACCACTCGTATCATTACGTAACACATCACTGCGGAATTAAAACAATAATTGAAAACAGAAGCAGAGAGACGACCATCTCTTGTGTCGATTAGACGGATGCAAATTCACTTTCTCGAAGAACACGAGAGGGTAACTTTTTTCTTTTTACTCACATGTCGTCGCGACGAAAATGCCGCAGGCGATTAGTAGATGGACGATCGGTCTTGAGGCCATCCCGGTTGTCGTTGAAATTTCACGCGTTCCTTCTGGGCCGATCCCGAAAGGAGGACTACGACAGGCCGCTACCTCCTAACATGCTTTTATCATCTTCGCATGCGGATGAGAAGCGGGAGAGGATGGCCTCTCGCGCGCGTAAGTCGTCTTCTCGTGCTCTTCGAACGCTAGTGACCGTAGAAGTGGTCGTCCCGCCCTTCTCTCAAAGGCCTTTGATCACGTGACCTATCGATAAAAGCTGAAAAGATTAATCGTCCCATTCTAAGTTTCATTCATTTGGCATCTTATTTTAACTTGTATGTAACGCGCAGTTAAAAAACAATATTAACTGTTAATAAATAAATAAATTATATATATATTTATAATATTGTTCAAAATTAAATTATAATAAAAATTATTAATACTTTTATAAATATAT